CTTTTGTAATATCTGGGGACTTTTATATTATCGGGGACTTTTATAATATCTGGGGACTTTTATAATATCTGGGGACTTTTATAATATCTGGGGACTTTTATAATATCTGGGGACTTTTATAATATCTGGGGACTTTTATAATATCCGGGGACTTTTATAATATCTGGGGACTTTTATATTATCCGGGGACTTTTATAATATCTGGGGACTTTTATAATATCTGGGGACTTTTATAATATCTGGGGACTTTTATATTATCTGGGGACTTTTATAATATCTGGGGACTTTTATATTATCTGGGGACTTTTATATATCTGGGACTTTTATATTATCGGGGACTTTTATAATATCTGGACTTTTATAATATCTGGGGACTTTTATAATATCCGGGGACTTTTATAATATCTGGGACTTTTATATTATCGGGGACTTTTATAATATCTGGGACTTTTATAATACTGGGGACTTTTATAATATCCGGGGACTTTTATAATATCTGGGGACTTTTATATTATCCGGGGACTTTTATAATATCTGGGACTTTTATATTATCTGGGGACTTTTATAATATCTGGGGACTTTTATAATATCTGGGACTTTTATATTATCCGGGGACTTTTATAATATCTGGGGACTTTTATATTATCCGGGAACTTTTATAATATCTGGGGACTTTTATATTATCTGGGGACTTTTATAATATCTGGGGACTTTTATATTATCGGGGACTTTTATATATCTGGGGACTTTTTATAATATCTGGGGACTTTCATAATATCTGGGACTTTTATATTATCTGGGGACTTTTATAATATCTGGGGACTTTTATATTATCTGGGGACTTTTATAATATCTGGGACTTTTATATTATCGGGGACTTTATAATATCTGGGGACTTTTATATTATCTGGGGACTTTTATATTATCTGGGGACTTTTATAATATCTGGGGACTTTTATAATATCTGGGGACTTTTTATATTATCGGGGACTTTTAAATATCTGGGGACTTTTATATTATCTCGACTTTTATATTATGGGGACTTTTATAATATCTGGGGACTTTTATATTATCTGGGACTTTTATAATTATCTGGGGACTTTTAAAATTTATCTGGGACTTTTATAATATCTGGGGACTTTTATAATATCTGGGGACTTTTATAATTATTAGGGACTTTTATATTATGGGGACTTTTATAATATCTGGGGACTTTTATAATATCTGCGGGACTTTTATATTATCCGGGGACTTTTATAATATCTGGGACTTTTATAATATCTGGGGACTTTTATATTATCTGGGGACTTTTATAATATCTGGGGACTTTTATATTATCCGGGGACTTTTATATTATCTGGGGACTTTTATATTATCTGGGGACTTTTATAATGTCTGTGGACTTTTATATTATCCGGGGACTTTTATAATATCTGGGGATTTTTATAATATCTGGGACTTTTATAATATCTGGGGACTTTTAAAATATCGGGGACTTTTATAATATCTGGGGACTTTTATATATCTGGGGACTTTTATAATATCTGGGGACTTTTATATTATCTGGGGACTTTTATATTATCTGGGGACTTTTATAATATCTGGGGACTTTTATAATATCTGGGGACTTTTATATTATCGGGGACTTTTATAATATCTGGGGACTTTTATAATATCTGGGGACTTTTATAATAACTTTGGACTTTTATAATATCTGGGGACTTTTAAAATATCTGGGGACTTTTATATTATCCGGGGACTTTTATAATATCTGGGACTTTTATAATATCTGGGGACTTTTATAATATCTGGGGACTTTTATATTATCTGGGGACTTTTATAATATCTGGGGACTTTTATATTATCCGGGGACTTTTATAATATCTGTCGACTTTTATATTATCTGGGGACTTTTATAATATCTGGGGACTTTTATATTATCCGGGGACTTTTATAATATCTGGGACTTTTATAATATCTGGGGACTTTTATAATATCTGGGGACTTTTATAATATCTGGGACTTTTATATTATCCGGGGACTTTTATAATATCTGGGGACTTTTATAATATCTGGGGACTTTTATAATATCCGGGGACTTTTATAATATCTGGGGACTTTTATATTATCCGGGGACTTTTATAATATCTGGGACTTTTATAATATCTGGGGACTTTTATAATATCTGGGGACTTTTATAATATCTGGGGACTTTTATATTATCTGGGGACTTTTATAATATCTGGGGACTTTTATATTATCCGGGGACTTTTATAATATCTGGGGACTTTTATATTATCTGGGAACTTTTATAATATCTGGGGACTTTTATATTATCCGGGGACTTTTATAATATCTGGGGATTTTTATAATATCTGGGGACTTTTATAATATCTTGGACTTTTATATTATCTGGGGACTTTTATAATATCTGGGGACTTTTATATTATCTGGGGACTTTTATAATATCTGGGGACTTTTATATTATCCGGTGACTTTTATAATATCTGGGGACTTTTATATTATCTGTGGACTTTTATATTATCTGGGGACTTTTATATTATCCGGGGACTTTTATAATATCTGGGAACTTTTATAATATCTGGGGACTTTTATATTATCCGGGGACTTTTATATTATCTGGGGACTTTTATAATATCTGGGGACTTTTATAATATCTGGGACTTTTATCTTCGGGGACTTTTATAATATCTGGGGACTTTTATATATCTGACTTTTATATTATTGGGGACTTTTATAATATCTGGGGACTTTTATAATTATCTGGGGACTTTTATATTATCTGGGGACTTTTATAATATCTGGGGACTTTTATAATATCTGGGACTTTTATATTATCTGGGGACTTTTATAATATCTGGGGACTTTTATATTATCTGGGGACTTTTATAATATCTGGGGACTTTTATATATCTGGGGACTTTTATAATATCTGGGGACTTTTATAATATCTGGGGACTTTTATAATATCTGGGACTTTTATAATATTCTGGGGTACTTTTATATATATCTGGGGACTTTTATAATATCTGGGGACTTTTATATATATCTGGGACTTTTATATTATCTGGGGACTTTTATAATATCTGGGACTTTTATAATATCTGGGTACTTTTATAGTATCTGGGGACTTTTATATTATCTGGGGACTTTTATAATATCTGGGGACTTTTATAATATCTGGGACTTTTATATTATCCGGGGACTTTTATAATATCTGGGGACTTTTATATTATCTGGGACTTTTATATTATCTGGGGACTTTTATATTATCTGGGGACTTTTATAATATCTGGGGACTTTTATATTATCTGGGGACTTTTATAATATTTGGGGACTTTTATATTATCTGAGAACTTTTATAATATCTGGGGACTTTTATAATATCTGGGGACTTTTTTAATATCTGGGACTTTTATATATCTGGGGACTTTTATAATATCTGGGACTTTTATATTATCTGGGGACTTTTTTTAATCTGGGGACTTTTATAATATCTGGGGACTTTTATAATATCTGGGGACTTTTATATTATCCGGGGACTTTTATAATATCTGGGAACTTTTATAATATCTGGGGACTTTTATAATATCTGGGGACTTTTATAATATCTGGGGACTTTTATATTATCCGGGGACTTTTATAATATCTGGGGACTTTTATAATATCTGGGGACTTTTATAATATCTGGGACTTTTATATTTTCTGGGTACTTTTATAATATCTGGGACTTTTATAATATCTGGGACTTTTATAATATCTGGGGACTTTTATAATATCTGGGGACTTTTATAATATCTGGGGACTTTTATAATATCTGGGGACTTTTATATTACCCGGGTACTTTTATAATATCTGGGGACTTTTATAATATCTGGGACTTTTATATTATCTGGGGACTTTTATATTATCTGGGGACTTTTGTAATATCTGGGGACTTTTATATTATCTGGGGACTTTTATAATATTTGGGGACTTTTATAATATCTGGGGACTTTTATATTATCTGAGAACTTTTATAATATCTGGGGACTTTTATATTATCTGGGGACTTTTATAATATCTGGGGACTTTTATAATATCTGGGGGACTTACATAACATCTGGGAACTTGTATAACATCTGGAGACCTTTGCAACATCTGGGAACCTGTGCAACATCTGGGGACTTGTGCAATATCTGGGGACCTGTGTAACATCTGGGGACTTGTTTTACATATGGGGAACTGTATTGAGCTAGATTCAATTTGACTGCAGAGGCCTTGAATAATAGCTATAACACTGTATAGTACTAGCTGGGGTACCGTATATAATATCTGGGGCACCGTATAATAGCTGGGGCTACCGTATAATAGCTGGGGCACCGTATAACAGCTGGGGATATATGTAAGTTAACAGTTGGGGAACATTGTAACAGGTGGGGGGAGGCATTTGGAAACAGATGAGGCCCCCCTACAACAATAGTGTTTTTTTTAATAATGGTTGTATAACTCATGTAGTTATGCATTTTTTACAGAATTATAAATGCTGAAAAAAATGTGAGTTCTGTTTCCAGTTGAAGAAACTGCAGCTGGAGCCCTGTATGATGGATGGGCTTTGTTTAATAATTGTGCTCATTGATTAAGAGTTGGGGCCTTGTTTAACACCTTAAGCTCTGGGTAAAAGTTACGACCTTGTGTGACAACAACGGCAGCCTTTATATCCATAATAAAGCTATGAATAACAGAGCTCTGTTAGATGATCGAGAAACCAGTTTAACTTCTCTCTTCTTAAGATTAACGAAGCTCTGTAAGGTAATCTTTGGTCTTGGTATAGTACCGTTGGTTCCGTAGACAGCAAAGAGTCCCTAATACAATAGAGATTATTCTGACAAAGGGTGAATTTATAAGATATGTTAAAGTCTGGGTTCCGAACCCTGGGGAAGAGTGACACCCATTGCGATGGTAGTTTCCTTTTTTTAATACAGACAGAGGTGGCGCTGATGTATGACGCGGTGCAGCTCTTCGCTAAGGCCCTCGACGACCTAGATCGCTCCCACCACATTAAAGTCACACCGCTAGACTGTGACGCAGACATCACCTGGATGCACGGCAACTCCCTCATCAACTATATCAAGTGGGTGAGTACCTATTACAGTTTAATATTAAGCATAAAGTAAAAACAAATTTCTTGATCAGAGGAACTGCCTAAGAACTAATATTTTGCACTAATAAGTAATTGTTAAAAATTATGTGACATTTCATACATTATTTAAGACTTGATTATGCAGAGTATTTTGGGCGTACTGAAGCTAGAACTTCCTGATGTTGATCATTGGTAATGTTGACTTAAAGGAGGTACCGACGTTATTTAACATTTAGCATAGAATTTTTTTTAGTAATTATGTAACGAGACTGAGGTTACATAATTAACTCACGCTACGTAACCGTCAGGAAATAAGCAGGATCGGTATCCATACCTGTATTGTCTCTGTAAATTTACTAACCCAACTCCTTTGCTTGCCTCTTTTTAGGTCAGATTTTTTTTTACTTTAGAGAAACCGCTTGTCCTGTGAATTTAACCCCCTTTTTCCCAAATATTTCAACCTATATTTGACTTTAAATATTGTCTGAGCGTAGGTAATGCAATAATGAGCTGGCTTTCAGAAAGTGTCCCATCACTTCAATATATTCTCTGCATTTTTGAAAACCTATTTATTTTAAATATTAATTTAGCCAACAGAAAAACTGATTCTAGAAATCAGACTGATATTTGCTTCTGAAATTATATTTTCGTATTTTCAGACACATTATAGGCAGGTTGCTTCAGTTTTCGATTTTTAGCAATACACGTAAAGCTCCAACAGTCCCGAAAACTCCCTACCAACTTACTGATCCTTCAAGTTTACTTTTCCTACCAGTGTACGTTGCTCCTTTACTCCACCTGCATCAGTGTTAGTTGTCAAATACACTTACCCACACTAGTTACCACTTTCTCTTCTTCCCATCTCCACACAAATTCCTCCATCTTAGGAGATCACTGACCCTTCTCTCTACCTCTTCCTTTCTTGGCAGCTGTTCATATCTCTCTGTTCTCTGCTCCATATCCTTCTTCTATCTCTTGCACTGCTCTACTCGGTACCTCACGAAATGCAGAATCTTCAGAGCCTTTATCAGCTTTTATTGAGACAGGCACCCCCTCTCCCCTTCCTTTCCTTCCCTTTCTTCCCTCCCCTTCCTTCCCTCCCTCGATTATCTTGACATACTCACCTTTTCAACTCACCGCTCCAATTTCTGTCTTACATCTTCCTTCTATTGTTACCTACAAATCTCTCATTACTAATTTACTGCTGCCATCCCACAGAGTCTTAGCAAGTCGTCTCAGCTCAGAGCATCCACCATTGTTATTTGATACCACAGTATTACTAATCATTAATAGCGGACATAATACAATGGAATATTAGAAGATACCGGGGGAATCAGGAATCACTACATATATTGATCTTCCGGATTTTCCTTATATGTATTTAAAGAATAAAACGTTACAATACCGTGACTGGAACAATATACAAATAATCCTCACTTAGGATACTAGAGCTTATAACAACGTTTCGGTAAGAAGCTTTCCTCGCCTCTCTACCTCTAAATATATTAAAGACCGGTAACCTACTCTTTTTCTGTATACTCTCCTTTAGTGCTCGACTTTGATCAGTAGTAAATAATCTTCATGATAGTGTTCATTGCAATCTTCTCATTAATTCCTCATTGTTACACCCAACTTCCTCAACACTCCCAGTGTTAGTATGAGTGAGTAAATTCGATGCTTTATACACTCTGAACCTCTTTTCCTGGTGTTCCTCCACATTCTTCCTCTGAAGACGAGTTGCTCTAAATCTTTACCAGCTCTGTTCTTTCTCTGCAGTAACGACTGCAATTCCTTGAAGATCATGTAAACATTGCCAAATTTGTGTTCACTGTGGTCCTCACTGTGAGTTTCAAAGGCGTTATATCAACCTGTTACCGTTATAACAGAAGAAAGAACTGTTTCATAGCTTCCAGTCAGACGAGAATATATGCACAAAATGAACTAGTTGGTCAGCTTACGTGTCCATGTTCCTACACATACTACTGTGTCCGCAATCTGAAAAAAAAGCGAAAGTTGGTTAGCAAGTATTCTGTAGACCCGGCTGCTCTTCCTTCAGTTGTTTGCAAGAGATTTGCAGACGTTTTGAAGCTGTCATAGCAATTAGGCAACATCTTGCACGTTATTCCTGGTGCTACATCTCGCCTCATTCCTTCACTTTAAACTCAAGACAACATTAATTTCTCTTGTATTTTACCTCTCACAGTAAAACACACTCTTGACACACCGTGAACTCACTTCAGTACCAGAGGAGGACTGGCCATAAGGGCATTTGGGCAATGCCCTATGAGCCCCTGGGCTGGGTAAAAAAAAAGGTGAAAAAAAAGTCACGAGAAGCTAAAGTCACAGCCGCTGCACGAAGACTGAAACGAAAATGGAAAACGCCTTAACTGAGCACTGAAAACACATGTCTGGCCCCCAGCAGTTATTGAGGTGACTTATGCCCGAGCCGGTTTTAAGACCCAGTTAGTACTATCAGTGTACTATCAGTGTACTAACAGAAGCTGGGCATAATGACATGTCCATATGCTATAACACACACTCAGCTGGTATTCCAAATACATCTTATCAATCGCGTTTAGTTCTGTGGAGTTCTCTCTCTACAATCGAGAACTGTTGTCCTTCCTTTTCAGCAGCCACGTACTTTGGGCCCATCACTCTTATTAGTACAATTTGTTAGTGGAACACTTGGTTAACAGTGTTTAATATGGTATTTAGAATCCTGGAATTCTCTCTACCCTAATCAATTTGCTTTTTGAAAGACCCATTCTGCCATCAATTCCTTAATCTGCTTAGAACTGGGATCGAATCATTCATGTTCTTCAGATATTTTAAATAACATGGATCCGAACCAATGACTTGAAAGGATCAACTCTTTGAAGTATGCTTAAGTCACATGCCCCTAAGGATAAAAAAGAGAAGTAAACTGTAAAGACAGAAATGGTCCCTCTACAGACGAAAGAGAAGAGTCATTGAGTTTCTCAAGGAGGCTATATTATCTAAAATACGGAAGGAACCACTGACTGGGGAAATAGAAAATATTGAGCATAGGTTAAATGAGAGTAAAACAGAGTAAACAACAAAAGAGCAAAAATCTAGTGTGAAGGACTTGGGAGTGATAATGTCAGAGGATCTTACCTTCATGGATAACTGCAGTGTCATTATTACATTTGCGAGGATTATGAAAGGATGTATAGTGAGAACTTACAAAACAAGGGATGTTGTACCAATGATCATTGTCTTGAAGTCACACTTCACTGTAGGTTTGAGCACTGCTACACACTAACAGCCGCAATCAAAACAAGTGAAACTGCAGATCTAGAGTATATATAGAGAGCCTTCACTGTATGTATGTTTTCAAACATCTTAATTACTGGGAATACTTTAAGTCCCTTGTCCTGTACTCACTGAAATGCATGCGAGAAAGATACACACCTGGAAAATCATAGAGCGACTGGTCCCAAACTTGCACAGAGAAATCAATCCTTACGAAAACAAAAGACTCGGCAGGCAGTGCAACATTCCCCCAATGAAAAATATGGATGCCTTGAGCACATTAACAGAAAACACAATAACCATCCAAGGACTAACTGTTCATCAGCCTCCTATCATACATAAAGGGGATTACCAATAGACCCCTGGCTGTCTTCAAGAGGGAACTGGATATATACCTTAAGTCAGTGCCCAATCGGCCGAGCTGTGGTTCATACGTTGGAGTGCGTAAGACCATCATTAATAGTTTTATTGATCAGGACTTAATCCACCTTGAGGTTTAGTCGAGGATTGGGCCGCAGAGGCATTTGCACTCGCAACAACCTTCAGGAAGACATGTACACAATGAAATCCAACACGATTGTTAAAATACAATATGATTGTTAAAATACAACATGATTGTTAAAATACAACATGATTGTTAAAATACAACATGATTGTTAAAATACAACATGATTGTTAAAATACAACATGATTGTTAAAATGCAACATGATTGTTAAAATACAACATGGTTGTAAAAATACAACATGATTGTTAAAATACAACATGATTGTTAAAATACAACATAATTGTTAAAATACAACATGATTGTTAAAATACAACATAATTGTTAAAATACAACATGGTTGTAAAAATACAACATGATTGTTAAAATACAACATGATTGTTAAAATACAACATAATTGTTAAAATACAACATGATTGTTAAAATGCAACATGATTGTTAAAATACAACATGGTTGTAAAAATACAACATGATTGTTAAAATACAACATGATTGTTAAAATACAACATAATTGTTAAAATACAACATGGTTGTTAAAATACAACATGATTGTTAAAATACAACATGATTGTTAAAATACAACATGATTGTTAAAATACAACATGGTTGTTAAAATACAACATGATTGTTAAAATACAACATGACTGTTAAAATACAACATAATTGTTAAAATACAACATGGTTGTTAAAATACAACATGATTGTTAAAATACAACATGGTTGTTAAAATACAACATGGTTGTTAAAATACAACATGATTGTTAAAATACAACATGGTTGTTAAAATACAACATGATTGTTAAAATGCAACATGGTTGTTAAAATACAACATGGTTGTTAAAATACAACATGATTGTTAAAATACAACATGGTTGTTAAAATACAACATGATTGTTAAAATACAACATGATTGTTAAAATACAACATGATTGTTAAAATACAACATGGTTGTTAAAATACAACATGATTGTTAAAATACAACATGGTTGTTAAAATACAACATGACTGTTAAAATACAACATAATTGTTAAAATACAACATGGTTGTTAAAATACAACATGATTGTTAAAATACAACATGATTGTTAAAATACAACATGATTGTTAAAATACAACATGATTGTTAAAATACAACAAGTAAATGTACTTTAACATACGCTAATAATTGTACTTACAATACTTGTATTGTTCTTCATTAATAAACAATATAGTGACCTCAC